TAAAGGGGGGGGGGGAATAAAAAAATTTAGCTCAGCTTTATTAACCTTACGTCACATGATCCCCCCTGACCCCCAGTCTAAAATAGGCCGTGGATTCTAGTCATCTGTGTTTTAGCTATCAAGTAGAGGGAGAGGGAATACAAAAACAGACACTGGCTACTCGAGTGTTTTGGAAGACGAGAGCTGGTTGTCAGTAGAAATCAAACAGTGGAAATAGCTGGGAGGTGGATTATCTGGTGTCTCAGCTCTTTGACTTGCGTTCACAGTTAGGTATCAGAGCAGTACTTTGCATGTCTTGTAACCTGGAGCTCAGTCAATGCTTAGAATGTGTGCTTTGTCGTGTGGATAGTCCTGGTGCTAGGATGGTGCCCGTGGCAGTAGTGGAGCTGATTCAGTAAAACACGCCATCACTTTCCCATTCTATGTGTCTCTCTCTGATCGAATTACAATAAATGAATGAATAAATAAAAATGAAGTAATTCTCTAAACAAATGCCCATCTGAACAGGTTACTAGTAACACATTAGGTTACTGTAAACTGAATATATATCATACTACTCTAGTCTTTTCATCAAAATATGCCATTACACTACCTGAACTGTAAAAGAAGGTCTTCTCAGGGCCAGTGAGTGGTGTGGTGGTGAAGGCACTGGCTGACCACAGTTCGAGTCCCAGACCTGGCGGCTTGCTTTCTCCCTTTCCCTCTCACTTTCTGGTGAGAGCATGTGTCCCCTAGCAAATTAAAATAATAATAATAATAATGAGTAAAATTAAATAAGTCATTGTTAAACAAAAGGTTTTCTCATTGCAAACAGGCAAAATTCTAGGAAGCTGTTCTCGAAGCCCACTTTCTAGCCACAGACTCAAAGAGATGCCGTGGAGGCAGCAGGCAGCACCTTCTAACTTACCCGCATTGCCAGCTTTTACCGAAGGTCCCGGATCTGATAGGGGCTGGATAAATGACTAGGTGAATGATTAGGAAGACGTCTGGGTATACAGAGGGAGACGTGATAAGTTCAGTTTAGATGGTCATACCATTGACCAAAAATCAGGTGGCTTTTGAACTGAGTCTTGGAGGATTTGGGGAACTAGCCAAATAAGAATGGTAGAGGAATGCTCTCATTTTTTTTTTTTTTTTTTACTTTCTATTTGAAAACTTTCAAATCTACAGAAGAGTTACCAAAATAGAACAGTGTTCGTCATACGCCCTTCACACGGACCCGTCACCACTTACCATTTCGCCTTCCTGCCTCGGCTCGCTCTCCCTGTGTGTGCACACATACACAACTGGCTCTTACTAAACGTGCAGACAGTATGCCCGACTTGAACTTGTTTTTCCTAAAATCTACATCCTCTTATAAAACTACTCTACAGACTTAAAGTTTAAGAAATTAGCATCGATACAATATTATTTTCTAATACGTGGCCCATATTTAAATATTTTCTATCTGGGATTCAATCTGTAACTTGATTTAGTTGTCATATATACATGTAGTCGGAAAATGCCTCATCCTATCTTTGTCTTCAGTGATATTGTCATGATATGATATCCCGATACATTACCTTGTCCCGTTATGATGTTAAGTTTGATCATTTGATTAAGGTATCATTTATCCAATTTGTATATGATAAAGAGAGCTTTTTTCCTCCTTGTAATTAATGATCTGTGAGACAGTACTTTAAGACTAAATATTCTGGTCTACGATAAAGTTTTGCCCAGGAACATCATAATTAAAATAAAACCACATAAAAACTTCTTGAGAAACCTCCACTCAAGACTGTTGCTCCGTGGCCTGGCACCACTTGCGCATCGCCCTCCGTGATGCTGATGTGCAGAGGCAGACCAAGCACACGATGGCTTTCTTTGAGCAAGAAGTCGATGAGAAAGCAGAGGAAATGATACAGAGGCAGAAGAGTTCAACACTGAGAAAGGTCATCTTGTGCAAACTGAAAGACTGAAGATTATGGAATACTAGGAGAAAGAAAGACAGACTGCGTGCAGGACAAAATGCAGATGTCTAATTTGATGAATCCAGCAAGGCTCCAGGTCCTCAGAGCAGAGATGACCTTATCACAGATTTCTGAATGAGACAAAGCAGAGACTCAGCAAGGTGACGAAAGACACAGCCAGGCACAGGTGCTGCTGGACGGACTGGTCCTCCAGGGCTTGAACCGGTTGTCGGAGCCCCGAATGATTGTTCATTGGAGGAAATAAGATTTCCCTCTGGTAAAGTCCGCAGTGCAGAAAGCTATCCCTATGTACAAGATCGCCACCAAAAAAGACGTTGATGTCCAGGTCAATCAGGAGTCATTCCTGCCTGAGATTATAACTGGCGGAGTTGAGATCTACAATGGGGATCGTAAGATAAAGGTTTCCAACACCCTAGAAAACCAGTTGGATCTCATAGCCCACCGGTGATGCCGAAAGTCTGGGGAGCCTCGTTTGGTGCAAATGCCAATAGGAAGCCTTTGGACTAAGCCTTGGGGAGGTGGAGTCCCTCTACTGCTCTACTGTGGAGGTTTCTGAGACGCTGAAGAAACAAGGTCCTCTGTGTACCTTCTCCTTTGCTGTTTGGTTGTTGTTCTGTACTTACCTGTAGGCCAGTGCCCTTGGCTTGGTTGGTAATGATGGGAGAACATTCCATTTCATATGATCGAGGTCCTACCTCTAGCTCATCCCAGAAGAACACGGCCTGGAGCTGTTCTATGGCAGGTTGGTGAGGGGGTCAGCTGGCGGTTGCCTGGACGTCACCCAGCCCTCTGTTATTCCCAGGGTCCAGGGACCTGGTCTACAGGGATACCTGATGTTCTCTCCGGCCGAGTCTCTGCTCTGAGGCTTCAGCTGCATGTAGGGCAGGCACCCTTCCAGCAGTAGTCACTTCCCTGTTACCTATGTGGGCCTAGAAGTTTTCCTCGTCTATAAACGTGATTCAGTGTCTAAACCACGAATATGCTTTATTTATTAAAACTAAAGTTGTATTGGATCTCAAAAAAAAACCAACTTTTGCATCTTGAAACTCTGGCTCTTTGGTTGACTTCTTGGCCTTTCAGTTCTTAAGTATATTCTTTTAGAAGGCCTCTCCTAATTACACTACATCTAAAATGTACATTCTGGGTTTTGTTTTTGAGATTCTTCTTTCCTCACAGAACCTCAGTGCCCAGGGAAGGATGCAGCAGTCGATGTGCTTCAGCCCTTACTCTCTGTGAGCTCCGTGCTAACACTTGTTCTAACCCCAGCTCAGCGTGATGCTGTGGGGTGTGTCCCGAAGACTCATCCTCTTCCCTGTGCCTGAAATGGCACTGCCATTGTCCATTCTCCCAGATTCGAACCCTGGAGTGTTCATGGCTGTCTTCCTTCACCTGAGTCAAGTCAGTTGCCAGACTTAGGTGGTCCTCGCCAAAGCCTTTCACAATTTCTACCTTTATTCCCACTGCTCCCCTCTAGTTTGGACTTTATTTTGGCCAAGTTTATATTCTCTTTCTCTATCTTTCTTTATTCCCAGGACACACATTTTTTGAAGCATACAAAGCACTTTTTTGGTAGTCTTCCTTGATTTGGATTTTTCTGGTGTTTCACTGTGATTGGATTGAGGCTATATACTTTTTCTTTAAAAAAGAATGATTTCATTCCATTTGTTATTATTATTTTTATTTTATCAGAGAGAGACAGAGGGAAAGGGAAAGTGAGAAAGCAAGCCACCGGGGCCAGCCATGTGGGAGACCCCTCAGCCACCTCGCCACTTGCTGATAGGAGTGTGCGAGCAAGGCTGCGTTCTCAGTACATCAGAGCAGAAGGCATGTGTCCCAGTCCATTTTGTTGCTAATAACAGGACACCTGGAAACTAGGTAACCATATTGAATAGAAGTTTATTTTGTGCATGGTTTTGGAGATCCAAGTCAAAGGGTCACATGTGGTGAGTCTCCTTGTTGACGGGGTCTTGAATACGCAGCAAGAGCTTGAGTAGAGCAGTATCCATATCTGTGAGTTTCGTTCCCTCTCCTTATAAACCTGCCAGGAGTCAGTGGAGACGGCGCCCTCAGCAGCTCCCAGAGGCCCCACCTATTAATCCCATAATCAGGTTAATTTTTTCCCTTCTCAGTACAAGCAGATTCCAGCACATGAACTTCTGGGGGGCACATTGAAACCGTGTAGCATCCCGTGAACACAACCAGGCTGCTGTAACACGTCCAGTCTGAAAGTGACACGCCTGCTGCTGCTCATTTCCTGTGGGAAGACATCCTCAGAAGAGATGAGCAGCATTTCATTTCTCAGCGTGGGCCCAGGGTGGAGGGATTGTGAGATTGTCCATAATGTTTTAACCCTGGAAGATAAGCCTCTTGGTATGCTTGATTCTTGGTCAGTGCCACATGCTTCGTAGAGGCACTTAAATTACTTTGTTGATGACAACCTCTGGTGATGAATGTCAACAGTTTTAGACTAGAATCTCCCCCGACTACCTCATTTGCAGGTCCAGCTCGCTGGAACAAGTTTACAGGCCGCTGCCCAGTCTTTAAATGTTCAGGTAAGCTGGGACATGGGATTGAGGGTCAGTTTTTAATTTACGTTTTCCATACTTGTTGAATTTTCTCTAAGAACATAATTATTTTATAGTAGGAAATACTTAGGAAATGACTTTCTAGTAGGAAATAACTTTTTTTATTACTGGATCTCATAAAGATCCAAATAGTGCTAATTATTGCCATTAATGATAATCAATTTTATATTCTGCTACGGTGCATGAACCAAAGGTGGACAGGAAAAGTCTGCTTTCAAAATCTTACGTGTAAGGTTAGTAAAACATTTCTAAGTCAAGCAGTTATAATGCATACCTAAACACAAGTTAAGTGATCTCTTAAGTGCTCTTTTGCTTCCAGAGGTCTTTTACTTTACCGTCTTTCGTGAGAAGCGTTATAGTGCAGAATATGGAACACTGGACTGAGAGACAGAGGTCATAGGTTTGCGTTCTCGTTCTGCCACTGACTAGCTATGTAACCCTGGGCTAGTCACGTAACCACCTGGGGCGCAATTTTTCTTATCTGTATTTAAGTGCAGACATTTTTAAGATTGCCAGGTCTCTTTGTTCTAAAATGTTATGCTTTAGAATTGTAATTAGGGGGCCAGCCGGTGGCATAGTGGTTAAGGCACTGGACTCCCACATGACCAACTGTCGTTCAATTCCCAGTCCTGGGGGCTTGAAAATCATGCCAGCTGTGTGTATATGCATGGCCCAAAAATCCAGGAGGAGAGTTAAGGGGAAGGGACTGTGGTATGGCCATCCCTCTGAAGGGTGATTTTTCATTTCCTCTCTCTTTGTCTCTGTCTCTCTCTGGTGAGTGCACATGCCCTATGGCAAAAACCTTAACAACAACAACAAATTGTAATTAGACCTGTTTATAGTCATTGGTGGCAGACAGTCAGAATTTTAAAACAGAACTTAAGTCTGGCTACTTTGCTTCCACGAGCCATATGGTAAAACATGCAAAGTTCAGGTGTTAAGCACTACTCCATGACGTTTCCGTCAACCTGCTGCTTCCTCTCATTGTAGCATTTAGGTAACTACCAGTCAAGAGGGAAGAACACTGTTCTGGGAGATTGATTCCAGTGTTGCTAACGACTAAAGACTTTTCGCTGAATATTCCAGAAACCAGTGGAGTGTGGGCCTAGTGACACATGGAAACAAGGGGAGGAGGGAAAAGGAGATAATGTGACCTTCCTTTCTGAGGGAGAGGAGGCGGAAAATTGCCTCGGTTGCCATGGTAAACTTTCATCCCTTAGAGAGATGTTGGCAAACAGGCTGTATCTCCACTGCAGAATGTTTACAGTCCTGCACTGTAATTATCTCTCAATGACTGGCAGAATTAATCAGAGCTTTTATGTTAATTAGCCTTGCTGCAGTCCCCAAAACAGGTGGTGGGAAATATGCAAATCTATGCAGAATTTTAATGCTCTGCATAACCAGTTTTAATTACCATAACATTTTCTACCCGTGCCCCTTGCAGGAATGTGTTCTATCTCTCTTGACTGAAGCATTTTCCCCCTAAGCTTATGTGTTCCTTGATGGGAGAGCTAGATTTACAGTTCCTTCAAATATTAAATGAACAGTTCTATGGGGCAAGTAATTAATATATAAGATAATACATGAAGTTTCAGACTGACCAACAGGTGCATGTCAAATGTTGGTGTGCAAGTCTGAGGTAGAGCTGGGTTTGTGGAAAATTCGGTGGGTCCATGGAAGACCACCTTGTTGTGCGTGCTCAGGATGGGAGGGAGGGGAGGTGTTTCTGACAGTGTCTCTCAAGGTCGCAGTCCTCTGGCCCCGCCTCCCAGTTAGTTAAGGTTACAGGTGCATGCCACCACACCTGGACCTGGGTTGGCAGGGCCTACTTACTTTTTTCTTTCAAAACATTGTATTTGCAGCATTGCTGGCATTGGCATCAAAAGTCTAAAAACTTAGTATGTAAAACTAGAAAGGTACAGAGATAAAAGTAAAAGAGGAAACCTGACAACTCATGACTGAATCAACCCATGTTTTAAATGATTCTTGAAATAAGGAGTTACATTTTCTTTTAACAACTCTTTGAAATCTTTATTTCCTGCCTCACCCATCTCAGTCTAAGTCTAGTGAAGAGCCGGGGGACTCCCAGCAGCCCAGCCAGCCTCCCCAGCAGCCCTCAGTGCAGGCAGCCATTCCCCAGACCCAGCTCATGCTGGCTGGAGGACAGATAACCGGGGTAAGTCTCTGCTGAGCTCCGAAACAAACGTGCTCTGTGTCTGCGCCGAGGGCCCAGCTCTGTCGGCGTGTTCCGCAGCCGGTAGTGACATGGCCGCGCCCGGCGCTGTGTGTGTGTGTGTGTGAGACTTCCCGTACCCTGGGCAGTTGTGAAAGCGGGGTTTCCTTCGTCACACATGCGCAAGGTACCTTCTGTTACCGTGCCAGGTGCTCTGGATAAGCTGACACTGAACTGCCCTGCGGGTGTTGCTTCACCGTGCAGCGGAGTCAGGGTTGTATGGTCGAGACCATTGCTTCATGAAGGCACCTGTGAAGTGCATTATGACATCACCACAGGGTAGAAGTTAGAGTGGCTTAGCACCGGCAAAAGAGAAACACTTTTTTAAAGTTGCTGTGGCCTCATACCCTGACTCTGCAACTCATGAGCTAGTTATTTCATCTCCAAACGTTTCTTCTGTTAAATGGGGATGTTCCAGTATTGTTGGAAAATTAGAGGTGACCTGTGTGAAGCTCACAGAGCGGCCTTGGCACTTAGCATTCAATAAATGTCATTTATTTTTATTGATAATAAATCAGTCTGTGTGCATAAATTAAATAAGTTTTTAACTTTTCTGCTGTCTTTGCTCTGAGGCACCATTAAAATATTTTTCCATTACTGAAAAATCTGTCTTAAATGACCTCTTTTGGAGTGAGAAGGGGGCTAGGGTAATAGTAAGGAGGTTGCTGGCTCACATCACATCAAACCCAGATGTTTTATTTTCTTCATTTCAGTTAAGTGTGTTTCGCCAATAGAAGGTTTTTTAAAAAAAAATTGTTGCAGAATTGTTTACAAAATCCCATAGGTGGGCATTAAGATATGTATTTATTAAATAAATACACATAAATACACACATGTGTATCTTGAAAGCCTGTTGATTTTTTGAATGGTTTTGATGTTGATTCTCATGTTTCTAGTACACAAATTGTGTTGGACCCTCTTACAAGGAGGGTATGTCCCTCAGTGACCGTGCATGACTTTAGAATATTGCACGAATCCTCCCACAGTAGTTGGAGAAGGAAGGTAGAGCACACACAGTACTTGCTTTAAGCATATGCCCGAAAGAAGTTGCATTAGGAGAGCATTTCCTGTTTCCCTGTTTGGGTTTTGTTCTGGTGACTCCTACGAGGCAGTTGGGATTCCAGGTTTCTGTGGCTAGAGCTTGCACTGACCCTGGGCTTTAGGGCTCCTTTGCATGTAAAGAGAGTGGCAGTCACCACCTGTTCCACAGAGATAATGTGTTGGAAAGGGGATGGGAAGTTGCAGAGACTGGATGCATTCAAGAACAGAAAGCTCTGTGAGGGAGGGGCCTGCAGGGGGACTTGGAAAAGAAGCAAAAATGGAGCTCATATTCTTTAGCCCTGTCTTAGGACTTAATGGGGATGATGGGCTGTGGCAGGGATTCATGCTGATGGGAAGCAGCTGGGCCTTATCAGGCCCTTCCGTGGTCATATCCAGCATCCTTGTTCCTCATTCATTTGACTAATCGCTTGCCATTCTGTTGGGTGTAAATTTTCTTTCATATCCTGTCAGCATTGATCCTTTTTTTTCTCGCTTACTAGTTAATTACTTTTTCGCCTGAACACTAGGATCCTGGACGAGCTAGAGTGCTTGCTTAAGTCCAGAGTGAGGGCCCCCATTCCGATGTGAATGTTCACTGGTAATGGTAGTTTGACCACTGAGCAACACTCGCCGCTTGCTAGCCGTGTGAGGCTGGGTGGCTGGGTTCAGATACCACTTGAGGAGCTACTTCAGAGCAGCTAGTTGGCTGCCTGCGGCCTCTCCCTCACCCGCCCTTGCTCGCTGTCACTCTGCAGCTCACACTGACGCCAGCCCAGCAGCAGCTGTTACTGCAGCAGGCCCAGGCCCAGGCCCAGCTGCTAGGCGGCGC